AGTCTGATTAATTCAAGTATCCCTGCCATGTATGCTTCTGATGCTTGCTCTGTCTCCTCAAGTTGTGTTTTTTGCTTTTTTTTTATTTTTTATCCTCACCCGAGGACATTTTTCCATTTTTTGTTCAGGTAGAGTGGGGGGGGGGGGGGAGAGGAACAGAGAGAGAGAGAGAGAGAAACATCGACGTGAAAAGGACACATCGAGTGGCTGCCACCCACACAACCAACCAGGGCCGGGGACAAACTGCAACTGAGGTACATGCCCGTAGCGGGAACCGAACCCGGGTCTCTCAGGACCGCAGGTCGACGCTCTAACCGCTGAACCAAACCGGCCAGGGCTGTTTTTTGCTTTTAAGAGTGCCTTTTTAGAGTTTCTTTTTGATAGCCAGACATGATATATATATATAAGAAGCTGTTGTAAATAGGTTTTTAATAATGTGATATGGTAATAAGATGTGGGGGGGAGGGTAAGTATGCTACAGTGCTATGACTAGGTCTCAAACTTTTAGTGAGCTTGTGCCTCTGGGCTGTGAAATTCATAAGTATTTCTCCGGTTTTTCCTCCCCCCTTAAGTGGGACAGGATGGCTAGAGTGAGCTCAAGTTAGGTATTTCCCTTCTCCCAGGTCATTTAGGCTCTGGTAATACCCTAGCAGGTTAGGCTATGGTTAACTAGTTTCCCCTGAGGGTGGTCCTTGTTAAAAATACAAAGAAACAAAGAAACAAAATATACAGGCTTCCAGTCAAGATGGTGGCATAGGTAAATGTGGTCCTCGCATCCTCCCACAGCCACATCGAAATTACAGCTGAACTACAGAACAACCATTATTCAAAACTGCCTGGAATCTAGCTGAACAGAAGTCCTACAACTAAGAATGGGACAGAAACACAGAATGGGCTATCCCACACCCTTGTATGGCAGATGAAAATCAGGAGGGATATCTCGGTTGTGGAGGTTCCCCCTGAGGAGTGAGGGGTCCCATCCCCACACCAGGGTCCCCAGCCTAGGGTTCCAGAACCAGGAATCCCTATAACATTTGGCTATAAAAACCAGTGGGAATTGTGGCTGAGTGAAACAAAGGGCTTCTAGAGTCCCAGGTGTTCCTCTTAAAGGGCCTGCACTTGGACTTACTCAAACTCACTTACTCTGAGCTCCTGAACTGGGACAGCAGCTCAAAAGGCACCAGGGACATACAGGGAGGAATTGAAGTATCTGGCATCAGGGACAGAACTGGAGGGGTAGCTTTCTCCCAGACAGAAGTGCTGGCAGAGGGCATTAGTCATTTTTTTTCTTTTCCTAATTCATTTTTTTTCTTTATTAATGTTAGAGTGAGAGAGGAATGGAGAGGAAGAGAGAGATAGAAACATCGATGAGAGAGAACATCAATTGGCCACCTCCTGCATGCCCCCCACTGAGGATCGGGCCCACAACCTGGGCATGTGCCCTGACCGGGAATTGAACCGGTGACCTCTTGGTGCATGGGTCAACAGTCAACCACTGAGTCACAATGGCCAGGAGCATTATTCATTTTCTCAGCCCTTTCCCCACAGGGTCAGTAGGCAGGCGCCATATCTGAGTCTCCATCAACCTGGCTCACACTGTTAGCCCACCCGTCTTTCAGGCCGATCCAAGCTGTTTCCAGTGGCTTTTCCATATGAAGTCCTATCCTGGCTCATGCTTCAGACTTTCCTAAAATCTCTCAAACAAGTAGTATCTGGCTTCAGTGCACCCCATATCTCACTAAGTGACCACAGGCCTGGCACTCGCAGCAGCCAGCCTGTTTCACAACTTGGCCTCTCCTGGGCACCTCCAAGCCCAGTATAAATAGCAGCCATCTGCAGACTACTTTGTAGCTCACGATGGGCAGCTCTGGGACAGAACACAGGTGGCAGCTGATCTTGGCTTGCACCTCCCAGAGGCCCCAGAGCCAGTGCACCTGGTGAACAGCTTCAGACCATGTCAAAGGACCACCCAAGCATCTCCACAAGTGATATACTCAAGGGGCGGACTCAGCAGGCATCAGAGCTCCCCTGAAGTAAGTCCTGCTCTGAGGGATGAGGCCTTACACAACTGATCCTCCATGATGGCTGCAGCCAGTCCTTGCAGCTGATCAGCCTGGGGGTAAATCTCTCCAACTGATATATCAACAGCAATCAAGGCTCAACTACAATAGGAGGGTGTACCCAGCACAGTGGGAGTAGGGTTGCACCTGAAGTACCCAATTCAGGTAAACAGGGAGGCTATTCCACTGAACCCTACAGAACATATACTGTATAAGGCCACCCTACCAAACCCAGAGACATAGCAGCTCTACCTAATACATAGAAACAAACACAGGGAGGTTGTCAAAATGAGGAGACAAAGAAATGTCCCAAATGAAAAAACCGAACAAAATTCCAGAAAAAGAACTAAACAAAATGGAGACAAGCAATCTACTAGATGCAGAGTTCAAAACACTGGTTATAAGGATGCTCTATGAATTTAGGGGAAAAGTACATAAACTTATTTAGAACTTCAACAAAGAAATAGGAAACATAAAAATGGAACTAGAAAACATAAAGAAGAACCAGTCAGAAAGTAAGAATATATTAACTGTCATGAAGAATACACTACAGGGAATAAACAGTGAAGTAGATGAAGCAGAGGATCAAATCAGAGATTTGAAAGATATGGAAGCAGAAAATAATCAGAGCAGCAAAAATAAAAAAGAATAAAATTAAAAAATGATGATAGTATAAGGAGCCTTTGGGACAACTACAAGCATACCAACATTTGCATCATGGGGGTGCCAGAAGGAGAGGAGAAAGAGCAAGAATTGAAAAGGTATGTGAAAAAAATATTGACAGAAAACTTCCCTAACCTGGTGAAAGAAATAGACATGCAAGTCCAGGAAGTTCAGAGAGTTCCAAACAAGATGAATGTAAAGAGGCCCATACCAAGACACATCATAATTAAAATGCCAAAGATTAAAGACAAAGTGAGAATCTTAAAAGCAAAAAGAGAAAAGCAATTAGTTACTTACAAGGGAGCTCCCATAAGACAGTCAGCTGATTTTGCAACAGAAACTTTGCAGGCCCAAAGGAATTGACAAGAAATATTAAAAATGATGAAAAGCAAGTACTTACAACCAAGAGTATTCTACCCAGCAAAGCTATCATTTAGAATAGAAGGATAAATAAAGAGCTTCCCAGGCAAGAAAAAGCTAAAGGAGTTCATTAGCACCAAACTAGTATTACATAAAATATTAAAGGGTCTTCTTTAAGAAGAAAAAGATATAAAAAATATGAATAATAAAATGGCAATGAATACATATCCATGAACAACTGAATCTAAAAAACAAAATAAACAAGCAGAACAGAAGCAGACTTGAAGCCCTGGCTTGTGTGGCTCAGTTGCTTGGAGCATCATCCCATACACTGAAAGGTGGCAAGTTCAATTCCTGGTCAGGGCACATACCCAGGTTGTGGATTTGATCCCTGATTGGGGCACAGACAAGAGGCAACTGATCGATGTTGCTCTCTCACACTGATGTTTCTTTCTCTCCCTTCCTCTCTCTAAAATCAATTTAAAAAACAACAACATATCCTCAGGTGAGGATTAAAGAAAAACCACAACATACTTACAGAGAGTTGAGGGAATGGGTGGAAAAGGTGAAGGGATTAAGAAGTACAAATTGGTAATTACAGAATAGTCATAGGCATATAAAGGACAGCATAGAGAATATAGACAATAATATTATAATAACTATGTATGGTGTCAGTGGGTATGAGATTTATCAGGATGATCACTTAGTAAGTTATATAATGTCTAATCAGTGGGTTGTACACTTGAAAGTAATATAATTTTGCATGGCAACTGTAACTGAAAAATAAAAAAATATTTAAAAAAAAATAAAAATAAAAATAACTCATAGAAAACTAAGGTTCAAGTGGAGCACCTGATAAAGTGATTGTATTTGACCACACTGTTCTACTGCTCTACAGACTAACTTCACAATTGCATATTTTTCATCATTTATTTATCTAATCCAGGATCCAGCAATTCTACTCCTGGTATTCACACAAAATAAATAAAACATGTGTTGAAACAAACAAACACCACAGTGCTCTGATATATTTTTTAATGGTTCCTTTTTCCTCTCACCCAGCCGGAAGCACAGTGAGAACCTGCTCTATCTCCTGGAGGTAAAATTCACAAAAGTGTGGGAACACCCCCTAGGACCCCCCCACCCAGTTTTCAACATTCAGACTTGTCCTCACTATGCCTCCGCAATTACAGTTTCAGGTTCCTCTGCCCCTGCATAGGTTTCTGCGGCAGTTTCCACCCATGAGTCTCTGCTCCAATAATCGTGACTCCCTGTATTTGCCTGTTTCTCCAGTCTTGGGGGCAGTGGTTTGCCTTGTGTTGTTAGCACTCTTAGGAATCTAAGATAAATTATTGATTTTTCGAATTGTTCAGGTTTTTACTTGTTAGAATGGAGTGGTGACGTCCAAGCTCCTCACAAGAGGAACCAGAAAACTATTATAATATCCCAGAAATTGGTCAACAGATTCACTTTTACACTATCTGAATGCATCATGATTTTGTCAATTCAACTCTATCCTCTTTTAGTTGTCATTTCTGTCTGAAGAAGCCCATAATTTTTTAACCCCGTAGGACCATTGCCAAGTCTTCACCTACAATATTCCAGTCATAATAAATACACTAACTTCTTATCAGGGAAACCACACTTCCTTTCTTCTTCCCTGCCCTTCCATTTCTCAGCATCCCACCAGTACAGGTAAAATCTGTCACTTGTCCATACTAGAGATAATACAAGCTAGAGATAATAAGAGAAAAGAACATAGATCTAGACCACCACAAATACCCATCTTCCTTCTTAAACACTCTATTTAGCATCTATACGATTACTCTCAAGACCTTATTTCTCCCAATCCCAGAAGATTGCTGAATTGAGGATGGTGTGTAAGGGGAGGAAGCTGGGACCCTGGTGGTCACTTACCTCTGGAAGAGCCCTCTGCAGCACACATAGGCCTCATAGGTTCTATTGGTGATACTTGTGTTTAGGAAGGAGACACAATCAGTTTCGGCTCCCCTGGGAACATAGAGGATTCCTGAAAAAAGGAGACAGAGATACTAAGGGGAAGATTTTACACATATTCCTGAAGGCTCTCAATAATTTGGGTATAAATTGGAAAACACTGTAGATTAGGTGCCTTTTCTATGCGTCTGTAAGATGGATGGTTAAATCAGTATTCTGAGATCTTGTCAGGATCTAGGTATATGATTTCTGTCAGGACTCTAAACTGAGGTACCTACCTGCCACACAGGCACTGATGAGGGATACACAGGCCCCTGTGAAGAGGGCACTGACCACAGTCTTGGACAAGTCACTCTTCCGGTGGGGTACCATTGATGCTGCAGACAACAAAACAAAATAACTTGATCTCTTTCTCACCAGCCAATCTTATATTTCCCCTGACCTTCAATTAAAGAATGCAGAAGAACAAAACACAGCAGATGAATAGCTTTTGTATCACTAACCACCAGAGATCGGCCAGCGGGACCCTAAGAAGTGTGTATATACATTAGTCCTGAAGGTTCACTAACTCAAACATTCCCCAGGTCAGGAAATGTGTGTCTGACCCTAATCCCAGTGGTTCTTCCCAAGATGTATCTGGATCAAAGACAGCTCTGGTTTGCTCCAAACAGGCACAAATGTCTGGTGTTCACTAGTTGAGATTTGCACTCTTAGGCTAGGACCAGAATTAGATGGATTTGAGCCAGAGGGATAAGGATGGCCACATTCACCTGGCCTTGCTCACATGATGCGCATCTGATCACTGCTAGGTGGCAATCTCCCAACCAAACAGTAATCGGGCATCAGAATTAGAACAGTACAGACAAGTATTTAACAAAAGGGAATAAATAAACCAAAAGGAAATTGTTTCGCCTTTAAATTGTTCAATCAGCTACCAAATAAATCCACTTAATGAGTCCAAATATCAGCACCGTAATAAATGGACACACTAAGCTGTATTTCTTCTTATAATCTATTTCTAACTTGTATCTTCCAAACTCTTGGAACCTGCTGGTCATCCTCGCTGCCCCTGCCCTCAAGAACAACTCCACTTTCCTCTTATTTTTTCATCCAACCATCACCTACAATCCAATGTATCTGTGTCTGCTTCTAATACCACTCCTCCCCCACCTGGTAATTTGTAGCTTTCAGTCCCACACTTGACACCACTCGCTCTTACTATCTATCTGCCTTATGTGTCTGGTCATTTTATTTGTCTTTTGATTCCTGTGAAACTTCTACTTCTGTGAAGACAACTGGTGAGCAGCCACTAATTTCAGAAAGTACCTTTGCTACTGAATAAAAACAAAGTATCTTTACTTATATATGCACTATGCCAATTTAATGGCAAAAGAAGAGTAATATCATTATAATCTTCCTCAAAGGGAAAATAAAAATAAAATAGTTTTGGGGCCTCCAATCAAAGGGTACAAGTAACAGAAATTGAGATTGTAAGCCCAGCCTGGGCTCCATGCATAGCCAGGTAGCATGGTTGCCTTAACTCCAAATTAACTGTGCCTGAGAGGGCCCATTTCACAGCAATTTCTCTATCTGGTCTCAACTTGTACTGACACATCAGGTCTGCCTACCACAGAGTCTGAGATCTGTCTGGATTATTGGGTAGCTGGGAAAATGAATTAACTCACTCAAGCCTCCGAGTGTGATTCCTATGGAACTAAAATTGGCAAATCCACAGAGTGAAAATGTTGTAATGATTTCAGCTCTCACCTAGGAAAAACAAAAGTAAATAAGTAAATAAACTCAGTCCCATATGTGCAGTCATATAATCATGATAGAAGTTCCAGAGATCATAGAACCTCCCATCTTTTCCACACTACCCTCAGGAATATGGAAAAGATGCTCAGAAAATAATCACTTCCTGAGTTATAACAGAAATAATGATATGGAAACCACAGTGGGCCTCTTTGCCGAACACTCTTCTTGTTGAAGTTGGTGAAGAAGGAGAAGGCCTAGAGATGAGGACGATTGAGAAGGGAGAGACAGAGGGAGACAGAAAAGGATATCAATTTATAGCAATTTAAACTTATAAATGTAGCAGTGGGCTTTAGATCATCAAAAATAGTGTCCACCCTGGACTTCCCCAACTGTAAAAGCCCAGCAATTATAGAGAGAAGGTGAGTCAGAGTGCGAGGGAGGAATAGCACACTGATCTCAGGACAGCTGGGATGCTGAGCTAAGCATACTGTTACATTCGCTTTCTGATTAGGCCTGGGACACTGGAAAGGGATCCGTGGGTGTGAAACAAATTTGTGTAATACTTTCTGTCTCCCCACAGATGATTTATGCTTTTCCGGATTGTCACCTACAGAAATCCACTGTTTCTCTCCTTCGATCCATTCTTCCATTCCAGAGAGACGTTTGTTCTTGTACTGAGACAGTTGCTGATAGGCCACAAACTCATTTGTGAAGAACTTGATCCCCACCATCTCAGCCACCATTGGACAATCTGCCCACTCTACACCCATCATGAAAACCATGGGCCTTAGGATATAGGAGCAAATCACCTAGGTGAAAAGAAAGAGATATCCAGGAAAAGAAAGAACAAGTAACACAGGTCAGGACACAAGAACTTTCTATGGAGCCTTAACTCAGTCTCCTCCACCCTCCTATCCATGCTGTCTTTTAGCTCATTGTGGGTCAGGAGAGCCTGCATAGTTCAAGGACCACTTGAATGCACTAGAGGGATAGCCCAACACATGTAATTCTTTACCTGGAAAGTGAGCCCCTGTATGTCTACCAATTCCCCTAGCCAGGAGAGGGCAGCATTGATGAAGGCCAACACAGCCAAAAAGGCAATCAGGTTAGCTGCTACGTTAGTAGCAAGGCCTATGGCATCTGTGGCTCCATTGCTGGCAGCTTCCAGGACATTCGTCTCCTTCCTGAGGTTATTGGGCATATGAGAAGAATATGATGTCTGGATTAGTCTCAGCCCCTTACAGAAAGGACTTGAGAGGTGATGAGATTCCTTGGTGACCCTTTTGGTGGAGATTCCACTGAAGCAGTATCAGATTTAATTGACATGAAATTGTACTGACACCTAGGGCAGAGGATACTGGTATGCAGAAGACAGGCAGGTGGAAGGTTAAACAAACAAAGAAAATCAACATGATTAGCTAGAGGCAGAGGCAGACAAGAGGGGATATGGAATCAGATTATTCTTTCTCCAGGAGACTTGAAGCCTCTGCCACCACAGTGCTACTCTTGACTCTGCACCTAACCTCACCATCCCCCACGGTGGATCCTCATTGGACTCACCCACGGGGCAATTTTACCCCCTCCTTATTCTTGAACTTGGATTCCTCCACTTCTGGATATACCAACTTTGACAAGGCGAGAGCAGAAGGGGCAGCCATCACAGACGCAGAAATCAAGGATGACGCTTCGATCTGTAAGGCCAGATACAGGAATCGGTGTCTGCAGAACCCGAACTTGGGCTCACCCAGGAGTGATCAAACAGATTATGCCTACCCCGAAGGATATAAAGGCTCCCAACACAGTGCCTGAAATGGTGGCAAACCCTCCAGTCATCACTGCGTGGATTTCAGAGAGTGTCATGTCTGCAAGGTACGGTCGGATGAGCAGAGGTGCCTCTGTCTATGAACAAGGAGAAGTGAGTCAGATTCGAGAGGATGCACCTCCCCACCCCACAGTGCCCACCTGGCCCCAGGGACACATCCTCCAATGTGAGCGCCCTACCAGCATGGAGCTCTGCTTTCAGCCTCTCCCAGCATCTGCCTGACTCTCTGGCACCTAATCATATCCTGGCTGCCATTGTTCTCATCAGTTTTCATACATGTTTGTCTTATTTATTTAAATTCTAAAATATTATGGAAAAGAAATGGTATATTCTCCATGTCCAAAATCATATAAAGTAAGTCCTCCTTCAAAGTTGATAGATTCTTCAACTTTAAGCAAAACAATGCATAATAAAACCAGTTTTACCATCGACTAATTGATATAAGCAAAAGTTACATTCCTATGGTATCACATCAACTTTATAATGAAACAAAGTTGAATGAAATACATTTTGTCCAGACATTATTCAAGGACCTGCTGTACTTAATGAATGACCTTATGAAATACAGCGCACTTCCTGAGTACATATTAGTAGCTTAAAAAGTACTCATTAAATTAATTGTAAATAGATTATTAAGGCCCAATGTTGATGACAGAATCGAAAGAAATGTTTGTGAAAATGTTATGAAAGTATGAAGACCCAACTCTGTAAACTATATTTAGCATCAACTTAAGATAATGCTACTTGTCACTTGATGAGTGATGACTGTGTCTAATGCTGTACTAGATGTTAGGGATAGTAATATAAATAAGGCAAAGTTCCTACTCTTAGGAGCTTATACTCTAGCAGAGGAAACTAAGCTGATTTTTGGATAATTTCGGTAAAATGTGGAGTGCTGTAGTGGAAGTACACAGAAATACTCTGAATACATTTCAGAAACAGTTCATCAGCTTAGGGCCTTGAGAGAGAAAGACCTCAGTACGAACTCCTTGTCAATTTGACAAGCCATTGTCCCTAACATTGAGCTAATCAGTTAATAGCATATATTGAGCACCTTTTTCATATATGTGTATCAAATTAGGTATTATGCGGATGAGCCTTGGTGTTAGCTCTGAGCAAGACCAGCTATTGCCTCCTTAGAGACCCTGGAAAACAAGGATCACAGGGAGAAACCAGAACCATAGAACAAATATCCTTCATAGACATTGAAGGCAGTAAGATTTGGACCAGGATGTTTCCCTAAATTCCTGTATAAGAAGTTAGATTGGTGGTTAAGGATGTCCAAACTAAGTATTAATACATAGGAAGGGTAAAAGCAATGAGCTGAGTTTCCTTTGAACTTCTGAGTTTTCTTTCATCAGTGATTGGCTGCCCACACAGCTCATTTATTTGACTTTTCAGAAGGAAAACATACTTTTCTCAGCCTGTTTTCTGCCACACTATTTGTTGCCAGGAAAAAGGTCAGAAGGCCTCAGGGTACTTACCATACCCACAAAGATGTTTCCTGCCACAGCCAGGGTCTCTGTGGCAGTGGTGCCCATGGTGATTTGTAAAAACCAGGCGACCTAAAGGGATGCAAAGACCTAAACAATTAACATCAGCAGCAATCTTGGGGAGTACCCAGCAAATCCCCACCCCCTTCTCCATTTAACTGGTAAGGAAACTAAGGCCTAGAGAAGTGGAGTGACAAGCCCAAGGCCACAAAGCAAGTTCCAGCGCCTGAACCAGAACACAGGGCTCTTGGCTTCCAGAACCAGTAGGTTAAAACTCAGTGTGAAGTGGCAGGCCGGCCCATTTTCTCTTCCTGCTCTGCCCCTCAGCCTACCTACAGCCTGGGCCTGACCTGATATCAGGCATGCTGAACAGTTTGCCTTTTTACACTAGTTCTAACATCTAGATCCTACATGTGAGCATTTTTTCCAAAGTGTCATTTTCATGCTTCTTGACAGACCACAAGATGAAAGCCCACCTCCTGAGTGGTGTAGGAGGATGACTCACCTTCTGCACTACCCACTGCACAAGGCCCAGGTAGTAGAGAATGGACATCACGCATCCAAAGTAAATGATGATCGGTAAGGCCTGTAATGAGAATGACAGGCAACTGATGAGATATTATAGTAGTCCCCCCTTTTCTGTGGTTTCAGTTACCCACAGTCAACCATGGCCAGAAAATATGAAATGAAAAATTCCAGAAGTAAATAATTCATAAGTGTTAAATTGTGCACCATTAGAGTGATGGAATCTCGTGTTGTCCTACTCTGTCCCAGCTGGAACATGAATCATCCCTTTGTCTAGTATATACACTGTTTACACTACCTGCCTGCCAGTTAGTCACTTAGCTGTCTAAGTTATCAGATCAACTGTCACAGTATCTCAGTGCTTGTGTTCAAGTAACCCTTGTTTTACTTAATGACTCCAAAGCACAAGAGTAGTGATGCTGGTCACTCATGAAGTGCTTCCTCTAAGAGAAAAGTGAACGTTCTCAACTTAATAAGAAAAGAAAAAAATCACATGCTGAGGTTGCTAAGATCTATGGTAAGAATGAATCTTCTGTGAAATTGCCTAATTTATAAATTAAACTTTATCAAAGGTATGTATGTGTAGGGGAAATAAACATAGTACTTGTGGGGTTTGGTACTATCTGTGGTTTCAGGCATCCACTTGGGGTCTTAGAATGTATCCCTGGCAGGTAAGGGGGGATCACTGTACAAATGTGCTTATGTATGCCATACATGGACTACGTTTCAGGCCTCTAAATTAAGCTCTCAGCCTTTCAAGAGCAGCTGACACAGTGTAGATACTCAGTGGATATAATAAATAGTACATGTAGCAAATCTATCATCCCATTAGTACTAAGCCACAAGATGTTTCTTGAGCCTTCCTCCCCCATGCCTATTTTATTCCAGTTTCAGTATGGTAACAATCAAAGGGCGAGAGATTGATGCTGTGCCTTCTATTGATGGGGTCAACCTGGTATGTAGACTGGCTGATCTCTTGGACACACATTTTCATCCTCTGCTTTACACTTCTCCCCACACTGACCCTCATTCCTGACTACAAAACAGATAGGACCTGAAAAGCGAAGGCATTCTTGACCAGCATATCCCCAAAGACAAAACTGGAGCCAGCCACAGTGTAGTTCAGGAAAATCTGAAAGAAAAGAGAGAGAGAGAGTGAACAAGTGTGAAGCCAGGTAGGTCACAGAGGAACACACGATCAGCCTCATGCATGATTAGGTCCTACTGCTGTTACTGAAGTTGGTGTCCCTTTGACAACATGGGGACAGGTTATATCCCCATGAACTGCTCACTGAATGACAGAGGACTCAGTAGTTCAGTTCCCTGTATTCATATGATTAGTTGTACCCCAGTATACTCTTCCTTTCCCACCAGATCTCCAACCGCCATCAATAAGACCGTCCAATCTCTTCATGCTTCCCCCAAATCTCCTTTCTCTGGGGTTCTGAAAGAGCAGAGCCCTCACATTCAATTTCTCATACCTGAATCTGGTCTCCCAGCCACTGAAATGCACTAAATCCAGGATCAGTTCTGATGACCAAGATCCCAAAGACAAACTGAAGTCCCAGGCCCCATAGCACCGTCCTCCAGGACACCTGGGACCAATAAGAACATCATTCCAATGTGAGTTCTAAACCCTACTTGTCCATTACCTGGTTGGAGTATTTATTTATTTATTTATTTATTTATTTATTTATTTATTGGTACATGCCCCTAGTGGGAACCAAACTTGGGACTCTCTGGTCCACAGGCCCACGCTCCAACCACTGAGCAAAACCGGCCAGGGCAGGTTGGAGTTTGAAACATGGGTACATGTACTCTGGGTGAAACTAACCTAGGATGTTAACAGAAAATCCAGGGTAAAATGGAGTAGGGAAAACAGGGAAACAGGGCTATAAGATGTAAAGAGCCACATATGTCCATATGATTTTTCAAACTGTGTCTACAGGTTAGATGATACACAGGCATGCATACGTATATGCAAATAAAGGTGTCATAAACCAATACTTTAATACTATTATGTAAAATGCAAGCCAATTCTCCATTCTATTTTCTTTCTTTCCTTTTTTATTTCTTTTGTTTTATACACACACACACACACACACACACACAATTACATATGTGATTTGCATTATATTTCTATTAGATATTCTAGTTGTCTTTGGTGTTTTCATTTTTTTTAATCCTCACATGAGGACATTTTTGCATTTATCTTCAGATAGAGCAGGAGAAAGAGAGGGAGGAAGAGAGAGAGAGAAACATTGACGTGAGAGAGACACATCAAGTGGTTGCCACCCACACTCCCCAACTGGGGCAGGGGACAAACTGCAACTGAGGTATGTGCCCTTAGCGGGAACCAAACCCAGAACCCTCTGGTCTGTGGGCCAATGCTCTAACCACTGAGACAAACTGGCCAGGGCTATTTCTTTTGTTCTTTAACACTGGCCTAGATCCACAAATTTGATATCAAGGCTCACCTAACATTTGAAAATAAGTGGTCTAGGGCCTCTGATAACTTTAAAACTTCTCTTAGGAGCAAAATAATCAAAAAAGCTAATTCCAGAAACTGTAAAGAGCTTAGTTCCATGCCTTTATAATCAATATTTGACACATGCATTTTATCATCAGTAACACACGGCCCTTGGCCCACCCTGCATACTCCAAACTCACTGCCCTGTGGTGTTTGGAGAAGGCAAAGAGGATGAGGATGAACATGCAGATTCCTGCGAAGGACATCAGCTGCTCTGGCCTTTGGGCTGTGTCTAGAGCCAGCCACAGGATAAGGCCAACCAATGCAACTCCAGCGAACACCCTGAAGAGAGAATATCAATACCATGTCATCAACTCGGTGAATGAATAACAAGTAATTAACCTTACCTCTAAGCAATAGTTCACCCCTAGGGTAAGTGAAATAACTCAGTAGATTAGACACAGAAACATATCTTGAGAATCACTCATCTGGTAGTTTCCTAGCTGGCAGCTCTCTTTCCAATTCTTGTACTCACAGACTGAAGTTGAAAGAGTCCAACCTGAGGATGCAAATCACATGACTTCCTTTCCTCAAGTTTCCATATCAGTAAGATGTGATATAAAGGCTCATTCTTTACATTTGTAGTAATTAATAACCAAAATATTTTTTAAAGGAAGAAAAGTATGCATGGTCCTCCCCCATGAATCTTCACCCAATTTCCAACCATTCCAAGGGCAAGAGTAAAGGTGAAGCCACACATCAACCCTATGGTCATAGGTTCCTTGATGTACCAAACATGCTTGATCAATACACAGACTGGTTTCCTCATGTCTGAGTGTTGGAGTCACCTCAGTTCAAGGGAAAAGAAGTAGAAAGGAGAGCACATATGAAACGAAAACAAAAAGAGCACACTGTCCATGGAGGTGCCTCCGAAAAACAAGGACAACGAAATGCATCACAAGTCAGAGTTAAATTTTGGAGCTGTTCTTACATGAACTCTTCTCACTTAAAGTGAATAAAATCTGGCTTTCAGAATCTATTCTGCTAATGAATAGTATCACTTTAGCTTTTCTCCTCAGTGTTACTCAATGATCCAAAATTTAGGTTGTAGTCTAGTGTGTGTCTCCAAATAATTGCTGTTGCAAACATTCTTAACACCTATTTTCTGTGCGTCCATTGGAGGATAGGCAGAAAACAGGAACTCTACAAAGAGTCTGAAAGTTATTCTTTCACTCCAGGCCTGTGATCAAAGGACACAGCATGCTATATAGTTAGTTAAATATAGAGCTGTGGCTGCTATAGAATCCAGTTCAGTATTCACTGAAGAGTAAGTTTGCTGGTTAAACTCCAAGGAATTGTAAAAAAAAAAACAAACAAAAAACAAAAACCACCACTGGGTGCAGGAAGTCTGGGGGACTAGAAGAAAAAAAGCATTAAAAAATATCAGGGCCCTGGCCGGTTTTGCTCAGTGGTTAGAGCGTCGGCCCGCGATCCAGAGAGACCCAGGTTTGGTTCCCGCTAAGGGCACGTACCTCAGTTGCAGTTTGTCCCCGGCCCTGGTTGGGGTCATGCGGGAGGCAGCCACTTGATGTGTCCCTTTCACGTCGATGTTTCTCTCTCTCTCTCTCTCTCCCTCCCACTCTATCTGAATAAGGAAAAATGTCCTTGGGTGAGGATAAAAAAAAAATAAATAAATATATATATATATATATATATATACACACACACACACACACACACACACACACACACACACACATATATATGTATACACATATATATAACAGGGAACTAAGAGATATGACCACCAAATCAATTTAATAGCTTAATGCAGCTGCAACCCTCTTTGTTTTGATTACTTCATTGCAGAAAAGAATGGTTTTTCTTCTGTCACAAACCCTGACAATAAACAGACTGAAACTCTTCTCTGAAACATAACCACTCTGTCCCCCAGCAATGTTGATACGTGAGGGTACAGGAAACAGACCGAAGTCCAATGCTCAGAGGCTTGTTGCTATTTGCTGTCTGAGCATTGATTTTGAAAAGCATAGGTGAGGGTCCGAGAGACAGCTCAGGAACTGTCAAAGGAGAAAAGGGAAGTAGACTGGGGTTTGGGACAAGTTTGAGAACCAGGGATATTGAGATTCTTAACTCACCATTTCATCCAACGCTTCAGGCAGGAGTTTTTAAAGGGCTTCACGCATCTTGTTAATTTTTTACCAAACAAACGTTTCAGGGAGCGGTGAGCCAGGACCAAGAGCACCAAGCAGGTGAGAACGAACAAGGCCAGTGCCCTCTGGAAATTCAAGATGCAGGCTGCCAGGAAGTAGGCAGCATAAGCTAGAAGGAGAAGGAGCAGAGTAAGGATGAGCAAGTCAGAGCTCCCCAGGCACAAATGAAGCTCCAGTCATGAATGTTTGGGACTTGAAGCAAGAAAAACCGTTCCGTGATGTTGCCAGCCCCAGACTGAGCTGCAGTTCTCAAGGCCAGAATGGACGGCTGTTTTCGTCTTGAGGATACCCAAGGAGAGTGCAGCCTAGTTTGGATACTGCATGTTTTCACTTATTTTTAATGAAATCCCTTGAATTTACTCTGATCCTTTTTCAGAGTAAATTTGGAGTAGATTTTATCAGTATCCATCATTAGTCACTCCAAAAGTCATCTTTTAAAAAACTTTATAATCCCTGCCCTGGCCAGTGTGGCTCAGTTGGTGGAGTATCACATGAACCAAGAGGTCACTGGTTGATTTTTCCAGTCAGGGCACATGCCCAGGTTGCAGGTTTGATCTTCAGTAGGGGGCCTGTAGGAGGCAGCCAATTGATGTTTCTCTCTCTCTCTCTCCCTCTCCCTTCCTCTCTCTCTAAAGTCAATAAACACATATTTAAAGTACATAAATTAAACTTTATAATTCCAGTCATTTTAACCTTTCCTCTTTAGCAAAACCACATAAACAAGGCTACTGCTGTGAAGTATAGCAGATCCTCAAATGATGTCTTTCATTATAACATTGATAAGATGCCATTGGAACTTAACTCTTGTTTATGTCAATTAGCCTTCTGTAAAATTGGTTCATTATACATCATTCCACTTAAAGTGGCAGAACCTATTGACAACGTTAATTGAGGACTTACTGTGCAGCCATACAGTCCTCAGCCCATGGCTCCTTGACTGACCCCCAAATATCATTTTTGTTCTCATCATCCTAGCTGCCTCTAATATTGACATCAAAGTCCTATATATGACTGACAGTATATTTTAAATAGAGGTTTACTGTTTAAAAAATATATATTATATCATTGATCTTACTAGCAAACCAGCAAACAAGTACTACATACCATAGGGTTATCTTGCAAAGACTACAAGAACCATGCCCTGCATCAAATAAAAATACTGAAATAGAGATAAGCCCAGATTCTCTGAAATGTTTAAGTCTATCAAACAGTTTTGAAAAACAGTGTAACTCAGTAAATATAGTTTCACCTATAAATAATTAAGATCTCTACATCAAATAGCCCTTTAGATTAGTTTGTGAATGAAGTTGTATCCCATCTACAAACATCTTCACACAAGGTCACGTTCCTAAAACAATGGTGTCTCTTGCTCACAGGAATTCTCAATGCCTCACCCAAACACAACAGGCCCAGCAGAATCTTCTTGAACAAGCTGGCATGTGTTTTGCAGAAACTTCTTGCCCTGGTGAAAGGTTGTAGTAAGCTCCTCCTGGTGAGAACCCAAAAGTTAAGATACAAAAGTTACTCCATCCCATTTGTATCAATTCCAGAACTTATATTATCTGACTCTGGGAAGGATTTTCTCTTAATCAATGAGGAAAATTATTCAACCAGGGGGGACACTGGGTGGTGTCCCAGCAGTGCCAAAAAAGGCCAGATCGAACCTTGCTAATGGGCAGCAGGTCAGAATAACCCTACTCAGTCTAGACTAGCAATATCCTCAGTAATCTCCTACCACAGAGGTGAACACTGGTCACATCAGGGAGAGCCTTCTGGGGCTTACTGTTCCCAAGGGACCAGGCATTGCTCAGCTTCCAGATTCAGAAAAGGGCCTTTTCTTCTGAGAGGCAGCTTTGGCCATTCCTTCCTAGAAACCATACAAACCCATAATTTTGAACAGTCAATCAGATGTGCATTGACAGACCAGGAGGAAAACACCAAGAATCCCTGGTGGGCAGGACCTGAGAGAAGATACCCAACAGGAAGGACTATTCAAGTTTAATTTAACAAACATGTATATAGCACTTTCTATGTGCTGGGCTCTTTCTAAGAACTTTACCTATAGTAACTTGTTGACAAGAATTCTTGAGGTAATTACCATTATTATTCCCATTTTACAGATGTAGAAAATGGAAAACAGAAGTTAAGTAACTTTCCCAAGGTCATGGACACCGTAAGGAGTAAAGACAGAATGTAAACTCAGGCAGTCTGGCTTCAGGATCTGAGCTCTTCACCATCAATTATGCTGCATTTGACCTGATCCCAGGTTCACCTGTCTCTGCCAATCCTCAGTTTCCTCAGCACATTGCAGTCATTTGAGCAAAAAGATCTAATTTTCAAACTCTCAAAGCTCCAGAGAAGGTGAGCCCAGTAAGAAAGTCCCAGTTGGCCATCATGCTGAGGCAGGACAGCTCAGCCAGGGCTGGGACCAGCCACTAATTCCAAATGCCTTGAGATCTTGGCTCACAAATTTCCATGGCCCTTTCTCCACTGCTGCCTTTCCCATCTAACATACTCACTGTTCCTTATACATAGTTTTCCTTTTCACTCCTCCCTCTCGTCCTTTTCCTCCTCATTTCTCCTTCTGCAGGGGGGCGCCCAGCCCTGTGTTAGCAGAGTAGAATGTGTATTATTATATACCGGTAACATGAGAAAGGAGAAAACAATCTTTGTCACCGCCTAACTGAATCAATTCAAGAGAATACCTTAGGATCTCAAGAACTCTGCTACCTTTCCAGGCTTAATAGAGAATGTAGTGAGTAAAAAGGATTGCTTAGAGGTGTCAGTGTACCCGAAGGACATCATGATCTTTGGTACATCATGACCTTTGAAACATCATTTGCAAAGTACATCAAGGAATGAATTAATGTTAACCCTAGTCTCCCTTTGTGTGCCAGATATATTTGATTTGCTCTTTCAGATCCACTCTTCACCTTGCTCTGTGCCCAGGGAATCATACCCTGTGAACTACACCAATGGACTCCCATGCCTTCTGGCTCATCTAGTTGGGTGCCACCAGGGGAACCCAGAAGGGGATCAGAGTGTAAGAAAAGACTGAGGTCAACATATTGAGGAGGTCTTCTTTATCCGACTCTCCTAGGTTCTCTTATATCTTGTCCCTTCCAGCTTAGGAGTAGTAATAGTTTACTGCTGCTAGCCTCAGGTTCTTGCACTGTCCATCCTCATGGTTCTAATACATCTTGCACACATCTTTGTAATGATCTCTGTGTAAATAAACCCTTTTCTAAATATCCTAACTTAAGTGTGCAGTCTGTTTCCTGTTGGAACCCAAACTCATGCACTAGGTGAAGCTGATATAAAATTATACCCAGTCAAATGCCAGTTCAGCAAGATCATTGCAAAATAGGAGTGGGCATGCACTAGTCCAAGAGTACATATGAACCACATGCCTAGAAAAGGTTTCTACCATCACCTTGTAATCAGACTTGACCATGTCCTGGGAACTAAAGTCCCATGGGTACTACCAGAAATCAATTAAGAGCACTCATTTCTGCGAAACCCATTAACAACTTGATCCTAGAATATCAAGTTGGAACTGGACCTTGGGTTTAAAAAAACTAAAATTAGCCCAGCCAGTGTGGCTCAGTGGTTGAGCGTGGACCCATGCACCAAGAGGTCAGTGGTTCGATTCCCGGTCAGGGCACATGCCCAGGTTGTGGGCCAAATCCCCATGGGGAGCATGTAGGAGACAGCCAATTGATGTTCTCTCTCATCAATGTTTCTATCTCTCCCTCCCTCTCCCTTCCTCTCTCTAAAGTCAATAAAGAAAAAATATTTTAAAAATTAAAATGAAAAAGAAAGCCATGAGGGGCATTTCAAATGAAAAAAGAAACCAATTGAGAAGCAGTGCACAGAGGCATGTGAGCAGGTATTCATGATCCTTGCATCCTGCTTGGCCCAGGATCTTGCTAATAACACCAAGCTCTTTACTTTACATAATGGTACAGTGTGAGGGTTAGTATTATGTTATATCAGGAAGCTGAACTGGGAAGAAATCTATGTGATAGATGGTGAAATTTGGTCCTTCCCATACCTTGTTGTTCTGACAGATGGTGGAGTCTTCCCAGATAAAGTGCTCTCTGTCATTAGAGAGAGTCATGACTACCTTCAATGGCCTTTTGACCCAGACCCTTTAGTTCTGTTGTTAGCAAAACTTTCTCCTGGTTTCTAGTATATGGATAATGCCCATCATGGACTTCCTTTGCTAATACAATTTGTCCCTTCCAAACCTCCTTCCTGGTAATTTGTACGGTTCACACCCACCTGCTTATCTTGCCATCCCCACCCATCCCTGCCAGGCTTACCACTATCCTCCCTGGAAGGCAGAACAGTTGCTCTGATAGCGCAGCCAGAAGACACAGCAGACTTAGTAGGAGCAGGTGGAGAGCTAGGAGGAAAAGTGAAAAAGAGAAATGATCTTTAAGAAAGGGAGAGGTCATTGATATTCAATGATGATAAGATCAAGAAGCATGGTGAATGAGAAGAAGATGCCAGACTTGGCAGTGAAGAGGTGAGTGGTTCTGTTGGAGAGAGCTGTTTACAGGAGAGTGACTGGGTAAAGGCGGAATTGCAGGGGATCAGGTGAGGGTGAGCATATATGGACTACTTTTTTAAAAAGTTTGCCTGTGAAGAAAAGAAAAACCAGACACTGTTTATTAAGCACCTTTTGCCAGCCACTGTAAGACCTCACCAATCACCGTCCCCAAAACCACAATGTTAAAGGAAGTCTATAATCAAGGGAACTGAGCCTGCCAGCAGGTGGCAGAGTTAGGGTTTAAGACCCAGATCTTTCCATTACTCCATGTGGCTTCTACTTAAAGATGTCAGACTAGAATTTCAGAAGGATCATTCCAGAATTCTAAACTTATGATTGCTAAGAGAGCAGAAAAGAAGAAGCATGTAACCATGTCTGTGAATGTCAAAGAAGCTTTCACAGAGGAGAGGACAGATGAACTGATATGAAAGGAAAGGGGAAGAAGTTTGCTAAGTGGATGTGTTGCAGGCAGCTAGAAGAGAAGGCTGCGGTATCTCTAGAAGAGGGAAAGCATACTTGAGTGAGCCTAGCATTTTGAAAGAACAGTGTAGTTTGCTGTCTCTGAGAAGCAGGGAGCATGTAGATGGATGATGGGGAAAAGTCATGAAAAAGGACAGAAGTTAGGTCATGTAGATTATATACCATGGTTAGGAATATAGACATTATCTTATAGGAAGTGGAAAGTCATTGTAGAATTTAAGCAAGGTAGTAATGTGAGAAGATATGTGTTTTTAAAAGATCACTCTGGTGGCAGTGGGGTGGGAGATGGGCTGGGGATTATGTGGGATGTAACTGAGGGTGCAGGGGAGGACTGATATGAGGGGTGGATGTCATAGATGTTTAGAAGAGAGGATTAACATCAGGTGGAGGGAAACTGGGATGACAATGAGGTTCCTGCCATGTGTGACTTAGTCGGGTTGAAAACATTCACCAAAATAGAGAATACAGGAAGAGGAACAGGCACGAGGAGGAAATGTGAGCTTATTCATCTTTGTATGCCTAGAGCCCAGCCCAGGACCTGCCATCATACGGAAGCCTCAAACCTATGCTGATAGAAGTTTGGTTTCAATGTTTAATTTGAAGTATATATGTGACATCTAAGTGTTTAGATGTTTGGTAAATGGTTAGATAGGGCTGAAGCTTAGAACAAAGGTGAGGCTTCAGATATGGCTTTATGAATCAAGACATTATGTTTAGTAGTGAGAAGAGATGACAAAGGACACACCCTGGAAAATGACAAGAAAGTACACCCAGAAAGGTAGGAGAATAAAGAGGGTGTAGTGTCATTAAAATCAAAACATTAGTTTCAAGGAAGGAAAGTGTCAGAAGGGTCATGCTGCAGAGATTCTCAATGAAAGTGTGTGGAAGGAGGTTTTATGAGTAGGTTTTCATTGATCATCTGAGTAAGAGAATTTCAGCTGCCAGTGGCAGTACAAACTGGATTACGTGGGGATGAGAAGTGAAAGACAGGTGAGAAAAATACTGTTGCAAGTAAATCCCACTTTTCCAAGAAACTTGGCCATGAAGGAAAAAGATATTGCAAGGTTGAGGTAAGGTTGATTTGGTTTTTTTGTTTGTTTATTATAAGAAGAAAAAAAATTTTAGTACACTTACAAATTGAGGAAGAGTCTAATAGGGAAAGAGTAACTGAAGATATAGGGGAAAGAGGGCTCTGTAGAAGGGGATGGGGAAGGATGGTAATAAAGTTGGCTTCAGATAATTTAGTTTTTAAAAAAACTAATAACAGTATAGTATGGGGTTTATAACATGTAAAAATAAAATGTATAAACAAACAATAGTAGTATAAAGGATGCAAGGGGAGATACAGAAGTATACTATCATGATTCTTATACTTTATGTGAAAGGATATAATATCAATTGAAGGTAGACTTGATAAGTTGACGATGCATACTATAAACACTAAAGCGAGCACTGATATGACAAAACAAAGAGTTATAGCTAATAAGCAAATGAAGGAGGTAAAATGGAATCATTTAAAAATATTCAATTAATCTGAAGAAAAGCATAAAAGGGGAAAGGGCATAAAAAGAGGAACGACATTAAAAAATAAAATGGAAAGATATCTCATGTTCATGCATCAGAAGAATTCATATTGTTAAAATGTGCATACTGCCCTGGCCGGTTTGGCTCAGCGGTTAGAGTTTCGGCCTGCAGTCCGGAGAGACCCGGGTTTGGTTCCTGCTAAGGGCATGTGCCGCGGTTGCAGTTTGTCCCCGGCCCTGGTTGGGTTGTGTGGGTGGCAGCCACTCGATGTGTCCCTTTCACATCGATGTTTCTCTCTCTCTCTCTCTCTCTTTCTCTCTCTCCCTCCTACTCTATCTGAACAAAAAGTGGAAAAGTGTCCTCGGGTGAGGATTAAAAAAAAAAAAAAGAAAGAAAATGTGCATACTACTCAAAGCCATCTATGGATTCAATGCAATCCCCATCAAAATAGCAATGGCATTATTCACAGAAAAAAAATCCTAAATCGGTATGGAACCCAAATAGCCAAAGCAGTCCTGAAGAAACAGAACAAAGCTGGAGGAATTATAATTTATTATTTCAAACTATAATACAAAGATATAGTAATAAAACAGTATGGCATGGCATAAAAAGACACATAGACCAATAGTACAGAATAGAAAACTCAGAATTCAACTCCCAGATATACAGTCAACTAATATTCGACAAGGGAGCCAAGAACACCCAATGGGGGAAAGATAGTCTCATCAGCAAACAGTGTTGGGAAAACTGGATAAACACATGTACTGGATAAGCACATCTATCTTAGACCACTCACAAAAATTAAGTCTAAATGGATCAAAGACTTAAACATAAGACCCAATAGCATAAAACTCCAAGAAGAAAATGCTGGTGAAGAAGATCCTTAACATTTGTCTTGGCAATAATTTTCTGGATATGACACCAAAAGCACAAACAACAACAGCAAAAAATCAACAAGTGGGACTACATCAAACTTAAAAGCTTCTATATAGCAAAAAAAACAGTTAACAAAATGAAAAAGCAACCTACAGAATGAGAGAAATTTTCTGCAAACCCCTTTTTGGATGAGGGGTTAATACCCAAAACATATTAAAAAAAACTCATACAACTCAATAATAAACAAAAAGAATCCAATTAAAAAATGGACAGATGAACTGAATAGGCATTTTTTCAAAGAAGATATCCAAATGGCCAACAGGTACATGAAAAGATTCTCAGCATCAGTAATCATCAGAGAAATGCAAATAAAAACCACAATGAGCTATCACCTCACACCTGTCAGAATGGCTATAGTCAAGGAGACAAGAGACATAACTAGTGTTGGCAAGGATGTAGAGAAAAGGAAACCCTTGTACTCTGTTGGTGAGAACGTAAATTGGTTCAACCACTATGGAAAACAATACGGAGATTCTTCAAATAATTAAAAATAGATCCACCATATAATTCAGCAATTTCACTTCTGGATATATACCCACAGGACCCACAGGGAATGAAAACAAAATATTGGAGAGATGTATGTACTGCCATGTTTATTTCAGCATTATTCACAATAGCCAAGATATGGGAACAATCTAAGTGCCCATCCATGGATGAATGGATAAAGATGTGGTATGTATACATTAAATTTAATATATGCATATCACATTTATTTAATATATAAATATTAAATCCTTATTTAATATGTATATATATTAAATTTAGAAAGAGTAATGAAAAGAAAGAGAAGCTAAAATCCGTTTGCACTGCAAGATGAGATTAAGGATTTCTTGAGGAACCAAGAACAGGAGTAAGCCAGAATAAAGACAGGCCTGAGTGGGTGTCCTGAAAATGGCTGGCCTTTAGTTAATCATTAAATTTTATCAATTCTACTCTAAAAGTGTCTCTAGGATTTAACTTCTTTAATCTATGCCCACATGTACCTATATTTTTAAAGATTTTTTTTAAATTGATTTTTAGAGAGGGAGGAGGAAGAGGGGAGGGAGAGAGAGAGAGAGAGAGAGAGAGAGAAACATCAATATGACAGTGAAACATGGATCAGCTACCTCCTGCACACCCAGATCCCTGCAGTGTGGGCATTTGCCCTGACTGGGAATGGAACTGGCAACCTTTCAGTGCACGGGACGATACCCAACCAACTAAGCCACACCGGCCAGGGCAAAATCTGTAACTGGCTGTGATCAATTAATTGTAGGTACCACCACACTCAGACCAGCCATGTCCATATTGATATATATCAATTTATACACAGAAGTGAATTTCTGGAGAAGAAAATAGAATTAAATTTTTTAAGCTTATTTTCTCTGTGAAATCACTAAGTTAATTCTTAAAAATAAGGAAAAGAGCCCTGACCAGTTGGGCTCAGCGGTTAGAGTGTCGGCCTGCGGTCCAGAGAGACCCTGGTTCAGTTCCTGCTAAGGGCGTGTACCTCGGTTGCAGTTTGCCCCCGGCCCTGGTTGGCTGTGCGGGTGGCAGCCACTCGATGTGTCCCTTTCACGTCGATGTTTCTCTCTCTCTCTCTCTCTCCCACTCTGTCTGAACAAAAAATAGAAAAATGTCCTCTGGTGAGGATGAAAAGAAAAAATAAAGAAAAGAAAACAAACAAAAAATAACCTTTTGTTTGGGAGTGTTGCCTTTAGAAACTACTCAATAGCCTCTTCCAAACTTCTCAACATATGACTTCTGCACTTTTTAAATAAATATTCAGACCCTTTTCCACACCATGCAACATGGCTTCCATCTGACCCATTTTGCCCAAACAACTTTCTTAGACATTACTTCTGGTACCAAATCTAATGATCAAATTTAAAGATATTTCTCACTCCTCCTTCTTTTATCCCTATTTCAAAAAAAATTGTGAACTTTGCCTTCATTCTTGACACTTCTTTCTCTTTGGACTTTCAAGACTATACATTTTTATTTTCATTATTATCCTTCATGGTGGTCCTTTTCTGTCTTTCTTTTTTTCTTCTGATTTTTCTTTCTCCCCATTCCCAAAGCTGAGTATACCAGAAGAGCTTTATTTCTTTCTTTCAATGATATGGGTAAATTAATTTCTAAACCTCAATTTTCAAATTTAAAAAAAGGGATTAAAATTAGTATCCACCTGTTGCTGTGAAAATTTAATTAATTTCTTACAACATTCTATACAACAGTGAGTACTCAATAAATGTTAGTTGGTATTATTCTCATTGTTGTTATTTTTGTTGTCATTCCAACCAACTCCCATTATATATGGCACAGGTTTAGATACAAATAGAGATGTGCATATGGTAACATCAGGTGGTTGTGAGTCTTATCACCACAATAAGACCATGAGCTTCCTGAAAATGGGGCAGTTTTGACCTATTCTGAGTCCGCAGGCCATGATTAACCTAACTAAACCCTAACCCGGTTTAGTTAGGTCCTTAGGTCCTAACTAAACCGATTCCAGAACACACGTACCTCTGGTAAATGGAAGGCCCGAGCCCATCCCCAAGGCTTTGTCCTTGCTCTTCAGTCCTCCTGGTTCCCTCAGGATTTAATCCTTCTTCCTGTAAGCACAGGTAGAGTTGGGGTCAGTCATAGTGCCCTTCCAGGGGTAATGAGGATTGTGAGCAGCCAAAGACCCTACAGCAGGCCACACAGCAGACCAGAAAGCTCTGCAGAAACTAAACTGGCGGATTACCGTGAGCTCCAGCCCTGGGTTGTCCATGCCAGTCTCCACTGTGGACGGAGCAATGGCCTCTCTGCCACGTGTTTTCTCCTTCTCCTGTCCTCCTCAACTGAAAAAGAAATTCAGGGCCAAGACTGAAAGATTGGTCATTCTATAATGTGGGGCTAGGGAGAATTTTTAGGGCCAGTTACCCACAGGAAAAAATAAAAAAAAACAACTAAAAATCTTTACAGGTTCAATTGATTTCTTTAAGAACTGAAAATTGGAAAGATTGGGAGCATAATTTTAATATAATAAATAATGAAATATAGACTTCTATTTCCTGTTGTGAATAGGTAAGGCTGGGATTATACGACAGGAAAGAGAAACAAAGGGCAAGAGGAATTGAAATGAATCAGTGGTTCACCCATGTCCCCAGGACCTAGATTAAAAAGAACCCTGTTAGGTCCCTTACAGGAAGAGTCAGAGGCCAACTACTCCTGTTAGCCTGGGAGAGGCCCCGCTGACCTGTGCTAGGTAAGAAGAAATCAGAAAGGGAGACAGGGCTGGGAAGGCCCCAGACCCCAGAATATTGCTGAGAAGACAGATTAACAGGCTTTCAAGTTCCTGGCTATATTGTTGCACAAAAGTTGTTTTGGGAACATATAAGAGAGCTCATCACTCATTAAATAAAAGAAACCTGCACTTAGAATAGTCAGCATGAATGTTAATTATTCCAAATAAAGAAAGTTTTAAAGCAAAATGAGAGAATCAAGAAACTAAAGCAACATTTGAGCCTCACTGAAAGCAACCCTAATAGGCAAACATTCAAATTAATAAACTCATTCTGAGATATTTCTTTACTTTGCAGAAAATCTCCTTTCCCATGGAATTTGCTTGTTTGTTTTTTGTCTTAATGTGTTCTCTTCAATCATTCAATATAGAATTTCATTAAACACACATAACAGATTTTTGTTGTGTAAATTAGGGCCTTCCTGTATAGGCAGAGAACAACCTGAATTTGGTCTGAATATAATCAATTAGGAAATTTGGCAAATCATGTTCCTGCCCTCCCCAACCACCTTTTCTTACACCAGCTTGTAGGATTCCTTCTGTCTCCTCAGTGAAGGACGGAAAGAAAAATTCAGCTCCAAGTAATCCGGACTCTGAAGGGACAGACTGGCTTTCCTGTGATTGGCTCTTTTTGTCTAGGGCCCTCCCTGTCTGTGCCTGTCCTCCCCTGTAGAGGAGGAGTGCAATTCTCAAGTTAAACATTTATATATTTTAAAGACTGTTTTGCCGGGTCAGGTCTAAGAATTCTGCAGGAACCCTTAACAGGCATATCAGCAGAAGCCTTGCCCAGCATTGAACTAGGCACTGGGAAGCATGTAAAAGAAAGTAAGAGTAAGGTCTCTGCACTCAGAAAACTTTATCATTTTGTATGGGAAAGACAATTACTAGAAAGAAAGAAAGAAAAAAACAGAAAGCAGGACTGTACAGGATTCAATGTCAGACGATCACTAGGAAGTCTTTTATTAATCCGCTCAACAAATATTTATTGAATACTCACTGTTTTGGGTGCTGAAGACACAAAGACGAACAAGACATTGTCTTTGCCATGAAGGAACTTACAAATTACTAAGGGAAGACAGATGTGTCAGAAAGGTTCATGGAGTTGGTAACATTTGCCCTGAGTCTGGAAAGTCTTGAAAGGTAAGTAGGGGATCACTGATGGAGAAGGGGAGAGATTTAATAGCAGAGAGAGACACTTGAACAAAGGCACAGAGGTTTGGCCTTCCCTGACATGCTAAGAGGGCTGCAAAAAATTAGCTAAAGAATGGAGAGAATATTTTGAAGACTTAAGAAAGGACCAAAAAAAGAGAAATTAGTAAAGGAATCGTGGGGGGAATGGAGATTCCAGAAATAAGTCTGGAGATTCAGTCAAATACCAGATGGAAATGAGCTCTGTAAGCCAGGCTAAAAGTTTGGGCTTATTCTGAACAAAATTGGGAGGCGGGAGGAGGATGGACTGGAAAGATGCACATTGAGGACAAGAAGACAGGCCAGGAGACAAAAACAATAGTCCAGGTCAGACATGGTGAGTCTCTATCCAAAGCAGTAGCAGAGTTGGACAGAAGAAAACAAGTCTATAGGACTTGGTTGATTGATTGGGCATGGGGAGGATGTTTGGAAGGGGAAAGATAATTCTTCAAAATTGTTCAAAGTGATCTAGTTTCTGCCTACTCCTACCTTCCAGTAATACTTAACTGCATGTTGTTGCCCCAACACACGATGTTCCCCTGTGCCTGTGCAAGTTTGTGAATGTTGCTGTTCTGCCTTTAACACACTGCCCCTATTTATCCACATAGGAAGAACCTGAACTCACCTCCTCCCACAGACACACTGAATCTATAGCTATATATGAAACAATTTCCTCTGGGGGGAAAAAAAAACCTAAACTAAAAACTGGCAGAACAATCCCTTGACATCAGGCAAACAAGAGGGAAACCACAATGAAGTGGGTAGGAAAGGCTGAGACACAATCCTATCACAAATCTTACTCCCAGCCCTACTCATGCCCCCCACCCCTGCATGGCAACCCGCAATCAGGAAGGAACTCAAAACCTGAAGATTCTTCCTGAGGAGTGGAGGGTTTGTACTTTTAAAAGTTGCACCCCAACTTTTAGACCAGCACCTGAGAGACAGCCCCCAAACATCTGCCCTTAAAGAACAACAGGGCTCATGACCAGGAGACCTGCAGGGCTGCAGTGCACTGAGGAATATCTCTTAAAGGGCCCATGCCTTCCAAATCCATTTATGAAGCCAACATTATCCTGATACCAAACCAGACAAGGACAACACAAAAAAGAAAATTACAGGACAATATCTCTGATAAACATAGATGCAAAAATTCTCAACAAAATATTAGCAAACCAAATTCAACAATACTTTAAAAGGAGTGTGATTTATTTCAGGGATACAAAGATGGTTTAACATCTGCAAATCAATCAAAGAGTCAGAGGGACAAATTGGGTGTATACTGTTGTAAAATCTTTTTACTACATATGAGCTGTATGATAGTATTTAGACACAGAATCTGATGTTTAATAATGTATATATGGCAACCACTAAAAAACTTTAGTAGTTAAATTATCAGCCAAAAGTGGAAATTAAATTAAATTATAAAAATACTCAATCTAAAAAAGGCAGAAAAAAATAAAGAACAAATGAAACAAACAGAAAACACCTAGCAAGATGATAAATTTTAATCAAATCATGTCAATAATTATATTAAATATAAATAGTCTAAACACAACAAAAAAAATACAGAGATTGCCAGGTTGGAGCGGTTAGAGTGTCGGCCTGTGGTCTGGAGAGACCCAGGTTCGGTTCCTACTAAGAGCACGTATCGGTTGCAGTTTGTCCCCGGCCTTGGTTGGGTTGTGTGGGTGGCAGCCACTCGATGTGTCCCTTTCGCGTCGATGTTTCTCTCTCTCTCCCTCCCACTCCATCTGAACAAAATATCGAAAAATGTCCTTGGGTGAGGATTAGAAAAAAATAAAAAAATAAAAGTAAGACCCTGACCAGTTTGGCTTAGTTGACTGAGCATTACGCCATGCACTGAAAGGTTGCTGGTTCAATTCTTAGTCAAGGTTGTGGGTTTGATCCCCAGTGGGAGGCAACTGATTAATGCTGTTTCTCTCTTTCTCTTTCTCGCTACCTCTCTCCTCCCCCCTCCCTCTTCCCATCTTTCTAAAAAAATAAATAAAAACTTATTTTTTTTAAAAAAGTTAATGAGCTAGTATATTAAAAAATAAAAAAAATAAAAGCAACCTGATTGCTGTGGCTCAGTGGTTGAGTGTTGACCCATACATCAAGAGGTTGCCAGTTCCATTCCCAGTCAGGGCACATGCCTGGGTTGTGGGCCCGATCCACAGTGGAGGGCGTGCAGGAGACAGCCAATCGATGTTCTTGCTCATCAATGTTTCTCTCTCTCTCTCCCTCTCCCTTCCTCTTTCTCTCTAAAATCAATAAAGAAAAAAATATATTTTTTAAAAGCAAGACCCAATAGTATGCTATCTGTAAGGAACTTATTTTAAATATAAAAACATAAAAGTAAAAGGATGGAAAATGAGATTTCACAGAAACACCAAAAAATAAATTTAAAAAGCTGGAGAATCAATATTAATATTAGAAAATGTAGGCTTAAGGAAAAAGAATATTACTAAAGGTAAAGAGAAATACTACATTAATGGAAAGGAGTGAATTCACCAAAAATAATTAACAATCCTAAACCTATCTGGACTAAACAATGTAACTGCAAAGGATATAAGGCAAAAACAGATAAAATTGAAAGGATAAATAGACAAATACACAATTATGTTTAGAGAGTTTAATATTCTTCTCTCAGTAATTGATAGAACAAGGAGACAGAAAATACATGAGGAAATAGAAGACCTAAACATACTATTAATTTACTTCAGCTAAATGACATCTTTGAAACATTTCATCCAACAAGAGCAGAATATACATTGACTTTAGGTATATACAGAACATTCACCAAGATAGACCATATTCTGGGCCAAAACAAACAAGCAACTTAGAATATTTAAAATACTTCAAATTAAACAAAATATACTCTAAAGCAATAAAGATATTAAGCTAGGAATCATGAACAAAAAGATGTTTTGAAAGTCCCTAAATGTTTGGAAATTAAACAAGATATTTATAAATAACCCGAGTCAAAGAAGTCATAAGGGAAATTAGAAAATATTTTAGTTGAGTAGAAATGAAATAAAAATTTATGAGATGCAACTGAAACCATACTTTTTTTTTTTTTTTTTAGAGGTCTAAGACAGAAGACACGCTCTAAGGAAAAGACCTAAATAGCTTTGAACACGAGGATCTTTCTGACACCCTTGACATCTTCCCACATTTGCCCCCTCCTTGAGCTTTAGGAAGGTCTTGACACTGGTTGGGTCCGCCAGTGTTAATGCAGTGAGTGCTAATGTCATTTAGCTACCTCTGGGGAAACTACTGAAAATGTGTTTAAAATGACACTAAGTGTGGGTTAAAGCTAGGTACAGAGCTTAGAATTAAGGCCTTTGTTCTCTCTGACCAGAGGAATGTTCCTTGAGGAAATTATATTAAGAGGAAAGGCAGAGAACCAACAAACTGAAAATTTCAACTTTCTCATCATTGGCTGAGCTTATGTTGAATGGATATATTACATTATATTATTATTTGCTAAGCAAGAGCACAGATTTTGAAAGTATCCTTCCAAAAGGATGATGGAAAAACTCGAAGTACCAAGGAGAAGTGCTTGGACGCCCTCCTGTTCCTCCCGTGCTGTTTCATCTTGCCTTGGCGCCAGCCAGAGTCATATAACAGCTGTTATCTGGGGGTGTGGAGAAGATTATCTTGTAGAGTC